TTTCATATACATTTTCTATTTTTAAACCTAGACATACATTATACTTTGTCCTTTCATGCCCTAAGGTGTTTGAATTTCAATTTTTTACAAATCTTGAAATATTTTTTCAAAAATTTTAAAATGTAGGTAACAAATTTTAAAGTTTTTGACAAAATTGTTAAAGTAAGCCCCTATTAGGTTGTTCACTTAATTCTGCGCCCCATCTTAAAGCAAATTTGTGGGGTAAGGGGGCGCAGAATTATATAAAAAAACTTAGTAAAATGCACTTGTACATATTTAAATTACCCAAAATGGTGGTGGATTTTAAAAGGAAATGGAGCCGGAAGTGAGGTGCGCGAGGGATAGTTTTCATAAGAAAATGGAAACAATTATCCATTATTTCACTGGAGTTTTAATATATTCAGATTTCTACAGGTTTTCAGTCAGGGTAGGGTAAAGAGCGTCGCTAAAAATTTTTTTTGAAAAGGGGGGGGGTGTCTGTGAAGAGAAGGGCGATCGGGAGAAGGATGAAATCTAAAAGTTGTGTTAAGTAGGGTAGGGTAGGGTAGGGTAGTGCAGGGTAGGTATGGCAAGCCCAACAATTTTTATGTTTTAAAAATTTAAAAAAAAATTATTTTAAATTTTAAAGTACAGTACCAAACTACAGTAAAAAGCGCTCGAAACAATTTGTTGCCGAGAGTGATTTAGCGCCAAATAAACCTGAAATTTATGGATTGTTAGTTTTGGATCGCAATTTTCGAGGGCGCAATTTGAATAGGTCATTTCAGTGGAGGCTTACCAATTTAATTGGCTGTTTAGTAGGCGCCAATGCAACAATTTTGGAGCCGGCTTTTGTAGTTTGTTTTCAAAAGTTTTTCAAATTAGATTTTTCCTAAAATTTCGGTCAGTTTTAAAATTTTAGTTTTAGAGGTGAAGAAGGGGGAGAGGTAGATGCAAGGGTAGTGGTCCTTTTTAAATTTTGTAAAAATTTTATTAAAAGTACATTTAGAAAAAAAATTTTATCACCCCCCCCCCAGAAAAAAAATTTTACCCCGCCCCATGATTTTTATTTTTCTCCGCCTTCTTTCTTATCCAGCTTAATAATCTTAACTTTCTTATCCGTGCCTCCACCGATTTTTTAAATTTCTCCCCCCCCCCATTCTGCCCTTTCCCACCCAAACCACTTTTTACCCTGCCCAACTTTTCTACCCTACCCACTCTACTTTACTCTATTGTCCCCTACCATACCTACCCATCCTACCAAAATGCTAAAGAGTTTACCCTACCCAACCTTCAGGCTCTTCCCCTACCCAATCTTCAGGCTCTTCCCCTACCCAACCTTCAGGCTCTTCCCCTACCCAACCTACAGGCTCTTCCCCTACCCACGCCTGCTCTCAAAATCTCGAAAACCGCAAACCTGGACCCAACTAATTAACCGTCTTACGTAAATTTTCCACTCCAGATAGCTGTGTTTGCAGCAGTGTTTGTAGACGAAAGCGGAGTAGCCGTTCCAATTTCCACAAAAAATACTCTTTTGTCAACCTTGCGCTCGTAATTTTTTTGAAAAATGAACTGTCATGACAATAAAAACGTTCCGCAATGATCAAACGGGGAATACTTTAGATCTTAATGGGCATACCTTTTGGGTTTTGGTACAAAAAGGGGGAATTTTATTACATGTAAGCCTTGGGAGCCTTGGAATTGCCTTGGATTGGGTTGGGGTTAATTATAGGCTGTCTAGAGTTTGTGCCTCCAGGGTACAGAGTAAAGGCAAAAATTAGGACAAGGTAAAGAGCAGTTATGGCAAGTAAAGCTAGGGTAAAGCTAGATCTAAGGTAAAGCTAGTAAAGCTGAATCAAAGCACGAAAAGGCCTACTAAATGGCTGAAGAAGGGCAAGGTTAGGACTAGAGTCAGAGCTAGGACTAAAGGTAGAGCTAGAGCTACATCTAGAGCTAGATTTAGAGCTAGAGCTAAAGCTTGAGCTACAGCTTGAGCTAGAATTATAGCTAAGACTAAGGCTAGAGCTAGGGATAAAACTGGGGCTAGCGCTAGAGCTGTGACCAGGCCCAAGGCTTTTAAAAGCGTTTTTAAAATGGAAGATGCTGCTTAGTTTTTTATTTTTTAATAAAAATAAGCTCATTTCAGTAAGACGTGTTAGTTTTCAGCCTTATGACGCATAAGTAACTTTGAGATACCATTAGTCATCTTTTATTTTTTACAATTTTTTCATTACGGTTACTCTTGGTTATTCACTAAACTTTAAAAACACATGTTTTTTTCTTCAGGTAGTTCTGTTTAGTTTTGTAAAATACGGAAAACATTTTTGTGAATGCCTTAACTTTTACTACAATCAATTGCATTTTTAGACTATTCTGAAACCAGCTTTATAATTTATTTATTTTATTTGCAGTTTGAAATTCAAAAATAAAATGTTTTATAATGTCTTGACTAATCCGCCCATCTTTCATACAACCCTAACTTGTGATTTTTTCGACAAAAATTGGAAAAAATTAGTCATACTGACCATTAACCAAAACACACATGGGTTATTTATACCGAAACGGAACTTTCATATCTTGTAAAGTTTGCTATACAAGTTGTCATACTTTTTAAAATTCGTTTTTTAGATTTGTTCTATAACACTGTAGGCGATCTTTATAAACATGGCCCAATAATAATGTATCCTTGTGTGTATTATAGCCTTCCACCGTTATTTTTTTCGATTTTGTAAAGTATTTCCCAAGAAAGAGCTAGGTATACCAATTTTTTGTTGCTTGTCGCTAGCTATGACAACTTTATGTTGTCTGGTACTAGTTACACTAATTTTGACTTCCTAGTCTTAGCTAAACCATTTGTTCGCCTGAGACTAACAGACGTTTTTTGTTGCCTAAAACGAGATTTTCCTTATGAAAAACCTGATCAAAATGCCAAGCACCTAGATATGGCAATAGGGCCGGACCGATTATTTAATCCGGCTCGGCCCAATCGTCAGACCTACAATCACCCCCTAAACCCTCTCCTACTCCTTTACCAAATCAATACCTAAACAAAAAATAGCCGCGGCCCGAGCGAGTACGAGGCGAAATCGAACGGAACAGCTGTTGCATCGAAATCTGTGTCAATTATAACAAAAAAACGAATTGTAGGCGAATGAAACGGGCACATATTCTCCATTTTTTGTTTATGCGCGAGGAACAAATACATGTGTAATAAATAAAAAATATAATATTGCGGGAGAGAGATTTGTTTTTTCGCGCAATTGTGTTACCTAGTTGTTGTTGCGGGTTTATTAGGTGTAAGTTGGGTTGTAAGGGAGATGAGATGAGTAATTTTTTTAATTTTTTTACTTTTGGTACTAATTTTGCCCAATCTTCCTTTTTATCGCTTAAACAATCATGCCCTGCCCCTTCCTGCCGTCCTCCTTGCTTTGCTTGGATTTGATTTGCCTTGCCTTGCCATACCCTACTCTGCCCTACCTTAACTCATCTTGCATAGCTCTGCCCTGCAGTCCCCTCCCTTGCCTTGTCTATTTCCCCTACCCTGCCCTACCCTACTCTACTTTACAGCACTTTTAAGTTCCAATTTGCCTTAGCTTATCTGCGGCTTCATTCCGATCCTAATAAAGAATGTCATCTGGCATTCAAAACCAAAATATCTTGAAAGCCTACCCTATATGCCAAGTTTCCAAAAATGTTTTTAATTTTTAAATTTTTTTAAACTTTTATTTCTATGCTTCACACCCAACTGACCACAATTTAGCATCAACCAAGTTCCCCCATAGTCTTATCCTTTGTTTTTTATTTTTTGCAAAAATAAAGTTTCATCTCCCCCTCAAAAAGTGGAAGATCAATTCGGGCCGAAATGCCTGCACGCCTGTTAGTCTTTATTTGCTCCCGATCCCGTCTCGGATTTTGCCGGCCTAGGAATCGCCATTCACCTTTAAGTGAATGTAAAATTAGGTCTTTGCGGAGTCAGTTCGAGGCGAGTTTATTAAACTTTCTATTGTTTTGCGGGCGATTCATATTTTAGAGGGATTTCGTATTTTAGTGTGATTTTGTATTTTAGGGGTATTTCGTATTTTAGGGGTAGTTTTTTAAATTTGTTGGCCTAATGTTTTATAAAGGAGCAAAAAGCCCTAACTCAAGTATTTTTAGGTAAAAAGTTTCAGTACTAGACTAAAAAAGCTTCTAGTACAGGTTTTTTTACTACACAATTCTGTATAAAAAACCTTTCTATTAGGCTGTTCAAATAATTATCTGCCCCCACTCAAATAAATTTTCAGGGTTATGGGGCACAGAATTATTTGAACAACCTAGTAGAGTAAAACCCTGTATAACGAACTATTCTATTGGGTTGTTCACATAATCATGTGCCCCCTCTCAAAACGAATTTTCAGAGTTATAAGGCACAGAATTATTTGAACTACCTGTTATAACAAAATTTATATCGAACAAATTTTGAATCCCCTAGCTATTCGTTTTACAAAAGGTCCACTGTATATATTGATAGTGGCATTTTACATTGTATTTTACAAAACTCAGCCCTTTTTGCCCGAGGCGTATGTTTGTTTTTAATTAGTAAAGTCTTCAAGTTCTCGCAAATGCGTAAGCAATACGGATTGAAGGGATCTCGTAAAACGTTTTTGATTGAATAAACATGGCTTACTTCGATCTCTTTATAACGTGTCCAGCCGTTTTTTTACGTGACATTGATCTAGGTTTACTTTTGGTATCGTTTTAAAACCTTTCTTTTATTGATCTAGGCGCTTATTTTATACGTCCTATATATAAAAACGTGAGCATTAACGTATTTTACCTTCTAAACCTTATTCTTTCACCTCTAGTTGCTAGACGAGTATAACATCACAACATCGCGCAGTAGTATTACAGTGTCAAGTCATAGAACCACAATATCGCGTCATAATTTTACAGTATCTTGTCATCGCGTTACTATATCGCGTCATAAGTTTATCGAGCCCTCATTATCAATAAAATACTAAAAATGTCGTTTAGGTTAAATAATGACCAAAAAGAGGTCGACTCTACGAGTCGTCTTCCTGCTGGTCGTTTATGCCTTCCTCGGCTCGAAGGCCTTCAACATCGATACGAAACAGCCGCTCATTCATCGAGGCCAACCCAACACTGGGTTCGGGTATTCCATCGACTTTTACAAGAGTGGCAACACTGTTGAGTACGGTTTTTTGCTTTTTTTATAAGGCTGATCTAAAACGTCGCTACAACTTTTTTGTGGAGGAGGGGGGGGAGGGGGGTATGAAAGCAAAAAAATTTTTTTGGCCCGCAGGGTAGAGCCAAATAATGACTTGTAAGTGATCAGCTTAAAGCCATATCAGGCCAAAATCATCAAAGCTGCGCGAACTAACATATCTTATTTAAGGCTATTAGCCGGAGCCCCATTTGGCCGAACAAACCAAAGGGACATCACTCGGGCTGGTACTGTTTACAAATGTGAAACGACCAGCAACCGATGTGCTGAAATTGTGTTTGACAGAACTGGTAAGGCATTCTTTTTATTTTTGGCATTTTTCTATTTGACTGAAGGCATTATCATTGATTTCAAGCTATATTATCATAGATTTTGCTGAGTTAATGTACATCTTTTAGCTTTTTCTACTAAAAAACGGTCGAAAAGTCCAGTTCACTCTAAAAAAACTGTAAAATTTTTCAAAAAATGAAATCTTTCTTCATTTTCAGGCAATGAACGCCGCCTAAACGGCAGCCGTCTGTTGCCAATCGAAGACAAGTCCTACCAAATGTTCGGAGCCACCGTGATTGCCAGTAAGAACAGCGATGGTGTTCTGGCCTGTGCTCCACATTACAAATACTTCTTTTCGCGATTCGAAGTAGTCGAACCGGTCGGAACTTGCTTCTACGCTACAGAAAACTTCAACAAGATCACCGAGTTCGCGCCGTGCCGTCAGGAGCCCGCCCGTCACGGTCGTCATCGTTTTGGTTATGGTATGTGCGGATTTTCGGCCGCCATTCCTAACAACGGCGACAAACGGCTTTATATCTCGGCTCCTGGTGTTTGGTACTGGCAAGGTGCTGTGTTCAGTCAAAGTATCAGTAATGTGACTGATCGTCCTGAAACTCCAGCTGGACCGGCCGAAACTGACAATTCATATATGGGTATGTCAAATCTTACATCTTTTCGACTTTAAAATAGATTTTTAAAAAGTTTTCGTAGTTTAAAATTTGTCAGAAATTAAGTTTCACAAATATTAGGAAGGTCGTATTTTACAAAAATCCTTTTCAGGCTACGCCTCAGCAGCCGCCGACTTCACTGGTGACGGTGTGGACGAAGTTGTTGTAGGTGCTCCACGTGCCAACTCGCTTATCGGTAAGGTTACCATCCTCGACGAGAAACTTAACGTCATTCTCAACCTCACGGACCCACATGGTCAACGTGGTCAATACTACGGAGCCTCGGTCATTACCACCGACTTGAACAACGACGGCAAGGCCGATCTGATAGTTGGATCTCCATTTTATACGGATTACACCACCGTTCTTGACGCCAAAACCCAAGAACATAAGCCTCAATATGACATTGGTAAAGTGTATGTCTACATTCAAGCTGGTGCCAGAGCCTTCAAGGACCCAATCCAACTGAAAGGTCATGAACAATGGGGACGATTTGGACACGCTTTGGCTGCAGCTGGCGATTTGAACGGCGATGGCTTCAACGACTTCATCGTTGGTGCTCCATACGATGGTGAGAACCGCCAAGGAGCCATCTATGTCTACCATGGTAGTGAAGAAGGTGTTAGGAAGGAGCACACTCAACGTATTCATGCCCGTGACATTGCTGGCGATCTCCGTACTTTCGGTTTCTCGCTTACTGCCGGCCGTGATATCGACAGAAACGACTACCCTGATATTGCTGTAGGTTCTATGGACAGTGCCAAGGCTGTGATCTTGAAGACGAAGCCAGTTATTCAAATCACTGGGTTCGTCAAGACCACCAGAAAGACGATCAACTTGGATGACAAGACTTGTGTTACCGAATTCGGCCGTCTTCCTTGTGAAAAAGTCAAATTCTGTTTGAAGTTCGCTGGCAAAACTCAACATAACAATGTTGATGTTAAGGTTCAAGTCAATCTCGACTCCAAGAACAAACAATCTCCCCGCGCCTTCTTCGCTCGCCGTGATCTTGACAAGAAACGTGGTGTTTCAATTGACAAATCGGCCGTTTCTCGCGAACAACCGGACATTATCACGCAAAACATTGTCCTCAACAAGAACCGTGAAGTCTGTGAAACCTACGATGTCTACGTTCCTGAAACCATCCGTGACAAAATCAGCCCCATCTTGATTAATGTCAACTACACCTATCAAGAGAAGCGCGCTCAGCCCGGTCAGTTGGAGCCAGCTGTTGACACCACATTGCCTCAGGCGTTTGTCACTGAACTGACAATCGAAAAAGATTGTGGAGATGACAATGTTTGTGTCCCTGATCTTCAAGTTCGTGCCAAGACCAACAAGGAGAAGTTCACCATTGGTACCGAAGACAAGACTGTTACCTTGAATGTTACTGTTGATAACAAAGGAGAAGACTCGTATTTGACTCAGTTCAAGATTGAAGTGCCAGCCGGCTTCGAATACGGTGGTGTTGAGAGCTACGACAACAAACACAAGGTTGCGTGTAGTCCCACTGACGAAACAAAGGTCGAGAAGGACGAGAATGCTCCACAAGAATTCGTATGTGAAGTCGGAAACCCACTCCCAGCTAACGAACGTGCTGATTTTGGCGTCAAATTGACTGGTGAAAGTGTAGATGCCAGCAAAGAGTTCGTTGAGGTTAAGATGAGTGTCAACAGCACCAACGCTGAAGAAGAAGGCAGCACTGGAGACAATGATCTGACTGTCAGAATCCCAATTGAAGTCAAGGCTCAGTTGTCTTTGATCGGCCGTTCCAACCCAGAACAAGTAGACTACTCAATTAGAAACCGCACCCTGGCAGAAGCCGCTACTTTTGACTTTGAAGTAGGACCAGTTGTTTCTCATCTGTTCCAAGTTATCAACCGCGGCCCAAGCGTCATCAACGGAGCGAAACTGGACATCTTCTGGCCTAGCTTCTCAGACAAAGGCAAGACCTTGTTGTACTTGATTGACATGCCATTCGTCAGTGACCCATTGAAAGCTCGATGCCAAGTAAAACAAGGTGCCAATGTCAACCCAGCTGGACTTGCCATTTCCAACCAACACGTTCCAACTCAGTCCAGTCTTCCTGATGAAGCTGAAGAAGCGGATAAGACTGATGCTGATGGTCAATATTATGCCGATGATGGTGAAGAGGACTTTGAAGACGATCGTGTTCCATATGAACATGAAGATGAGCCAGAGTATAACAAGGATGATGAATATGAGACAGAAAACTACAGGAAAAAGAGAGCGGCCAGAAGAAAGAAGGATGGCAATGCCAACCGTCGCCAGCCTGACGCTTTGAAGAGAAAGTTGAGAGAGCAGAAGCACCAGATGAGAGAAGCCGTACAACAAGCTAAACAAGTTGGTAAAGCCACTGAATACCGTGGTCCTTTGATTCCTAATCATCTGGTAAGTAAAAGACATCAAAATTTGTGGTTTTGAACAAATTTTAAGCCCGTCTTATATTATTGTAGATCAATTTTCCTAATATTTTGCCTAAAAATCGAAACAATCAAAATTTAAATCTTACCATTTCAGAACTGTGCCAGTTTGAACTGTACCCAAATTTCCTGCGACATTGGAGAGCTGGGTGCTGATGAATATGTTCTTGTTGAAGTATTCTCTCGTCTATGGCTCAACTCACTGATCGATGCCGATTCTCATGAAGCAGAAGTTTCTTCGCTAGCTTTTGCTCAAATCACTTCATTGCCATATGCTCCAAAGTACCAACCACCTCCACAAGTTATCGCCGTCACCACCAATGTCAATCCAATCGACCCCGAGTCGATCGGATGGGGATTACCATGGTGGTTGTGGTTGTTGGCCATCTTGATCGGTCTACTTTTGTTGTTGTTGATCATCTACTGCTGCTGGAGGGTAGGTTTTTGATAAGTGGTCGGAAAGTTAAGAAAAATCGTGCTTTAACAATTTTTGTTACCTAAAATGAAAAAAAAACGAAAAACTTACATTTTAGTTATTTTTGTTACCTAAAACTTTAAAGAACTCTCCAAAAACATAACTTACAATAACGATTGTTACCTAAGCTTTAAAAGGATCGCAATAATAAGCTGTCTCATTCACACTATTACCTAAAAACCAAGGAAAAACGTTAAAACCTTTTTTCAGTGCGGATTCTTCAAGCGCAACCGTCCTCAATATGAGAAGGCCGAGTTCAACCGTGAAAACTATGAAGACTACTAGAACAGCTTCAGCTTGACCATTAAACTGAATATCAGCCACTGAATTGAACATTAAATATAATATCAGTCACTGAATTGAACTCAAACATCAAGTTGAACGTCAACAACGAAGTATAACTTCAAATTTCTGAAAATATTAACATCATTACATTTCTAATGTCAAACAACATCCATATTCTTTTATCAATCAAAAAGAAAATCTCTCATGACAAAGTTTTAACAACATTTATTTAAATCTCCTACTATAATATAAGTGCCTTAGTGTCTATTATAATATAAGTCTTGCTTTACGTGCTATCCTTTAGAAAACACCCTTGCTCTAGTCTTAATAAGCAGTTGTAATAATTTCAAGTCTTTTTAAAGTGTTTAAAGTAATTAACATGCCTTTAAAGTTGTCTTTAACGCAATTTCTAACACAAAAACGGGTATATCTTTACATTTTCTAGGCTTCTCGAAGGAAAACTGCCCTAATTAGTCAGGTTTTTTAAAATTATTCGAAATTAAGTTTGATATTATTGTTGCCATAACTGCTTTTTTAAGTATTACGTTGTTTCAAATCGTTTTTTAGTCCGATATTGCTCAAGTTTTGCAATAAATCTTTGATTCATAGCTTTAACAGTTCCTTTTTTTGTTGTAAACTGTTTTAAATTGTAATAAAGTTTAAAAAGAATAATGTTAAGGTAGATAGCTTTATGAAAAAAATAACAAAACTTAACTTACTTTATGTATTTTTTACAAAATCAAGCTCGAACAGACGTTTTCACAAAAATTAATGAACTATTCTTCCGTATAAAATGGGTTTCCAATTTGCACCCCTCGGGCGCAGTGAGCGCATAAAAAATAAAAGAAAAATTGTTTTCCGGAACGGCCGAAAACAACAAAACATGGTTATTTTCAGTTGATCTGACAACAAACTCGGTTCAAAACAAATGTAAATTGTATAGTAAGTATCCTCTTTATCTTCATTTTAACTTTTAGGTATTAAATCTATCGAAGTCGAGGTATTGAAGCCAAAAAATGGTGAATCAATATCGAAATTGGAGGCTTCTTCGATATTTTGCTTCTTTTCGTCGCTTTTCAACCCAATTTCAAACAAATTTTCGCCAAAATTTGTGGAAGAATCAAGGATCAAGGCTTTATGTAGCTCCAGTTGCAGCTATTGGCATTGGTTGTGGGGCTTCTACGGCTTTTTGTCTTGATTCTAATGATGTATATAACGATTCGCATCCTATACCTCGAAGACTTGAAAGATTCTCGAAGTTTGCGTCAGTTGAATACAATGGTGTGGTTTATATGACTCCACAGGATCTTTTGGATAGTCTGGTGTTGGATGAACCAAGAGGTGAGATTTTTGGTTGAGTTATGGGATGTTCTAGCCTGATGAGGTCGAAATTTTTACTACTTGACTAATTTGTGACTTGTTTTCAGATTTTAAGTTAATATTGGTTTTGTTTCAGAAAGAGTATTTCGCAATGTATTGGAGAAACGCGATGTTGAGAGAATGTTGCGCATGACACCTGCTCTGAAGGCTGGTGCTAATGATGTATTTAGAAGTCTTGGGCATAATGGCATTATTTCCTACGCAGAATATTTGTTTTTACTCACTTTATTAACGAGTAAGTTATGTTTTTTGCTTTTTATGTGTTCAGGAAGCAATTTTGGATATTATCATAGACGTCTGACCTGTTTAGCCTTTTTCTAAGATTCCTAACAAATAAGTCGTTGATACGTATATTTTCTATTGCCGTTAATGTGAGAAGGATCTTTTACGGCTTACCCATAAATTTGGAGCAGTTTTGACGATTGGATACACAGTTATAACGATTTATGTTAACATAGGTTTAATATTCTCCATCCTTTCAGAATCTCACTCCTCCTTCAAAGTAGCTTTCACTATTTTTGATAACGATGGTAATGAAAAGATTGACAAAGAAGAATTTCTAATGGTAAGTACGTTTACTTCTATTTGCTTGATTGTGTTTGATGTTTTTGCACATTAATCATGTTATAATAGCTTGAAGGATTGTTTTGCTGAACTAACGTTTTTCTCTTGCTCAGTGTCTTTGACTTTGACTGTTTAATATAATATGTCATTTGAATTTTGTGTTACTTTGAAAGTGTTTAAACTGTCTTGTAGATGGTATGATGGCTTGTTTAATCTTGTTTTTGAAGGATAATATAGGATGGCTTATTAATGGCAAATTGGCTAATATTTTTGAATTTGAGCTGTTTTTAATGACAAAAATTGATATGAAGCTTACAATTTGTTAGCTTTGACATTTTTTGTGGTTTTAATTTAAAATTTTTGTTTAGTTTTCGAAATTTGGGCTTGAAACTTCAATTTAAGTTGATGTGCCTACTATAATATAAATCCATGATATTAAATATCAGCAAATGGTTTAAAAATAACAAAGCTTTGGAATGTGATAGTTTGTGGTATAAGGAATGGCACAAAATTTTTAAATTATTGAAAAGTCGTGTAATGTGAAAATATTGTGAAAAATGTTTAGGTACGTTCATTAGTGATGGCGAAGAACAAAATTGGCGTATCAAGGCTACAGCTGGAAGAACATGTAAGTTTATGTTGTTGTCGGCTTGTGATTATACAGATCTACATATTTTTTATAATTTTAGAAAAAAAATTGATAAGATAATTAGTTAGGTCAAAAAGTAAATAGAAAGCCATTATTGTTAGACGTTTTGATGTAATTTTTGTAGATTTTTGAAAGTTTTGTTGTAAAATATGAACCCTTTGTAATTATATAGTAAGTAATGTACGTGTAAATCAATGTTCTTTCAGTTGATGAAAGCAAGAATCGGACTCGATTCAGCAGCTCTACCTGTATCAATGGATGTTCATGAACTGGCCGGATTGGATCAACTTCAGTCGGTAAAAAAATTGAAAAATGGTTATTGTGGTAAATGAAAAGTAATGTAAAAATGTTTTAAATGGGCTGTGAAGTGTAGTAAAGGCTATGGTTATTGTGAAAATATGTTAGAAGAAAAATATGTTAGATTTGCAATATGATATTGTAGTAGTGAAGGTGTATGTGAGTTAGTGTCGTAATGTGAGATATGGTGTTGTGTGGTAGGAATTAGGGGTGTAAATATGATAAGGGGTAGGTATGTTATTTAATGGCAAAGTTTTGGAATTTAAAAAAAATTTGGAAAAAAATCGACAGGTGGGAATATTTTTGGTAGAAAACTTTTTATTAAAAACAAGTAAAGATGGACTAAAATTGTGGTAATGTGGTTTTTTTATTCAACTGTCAGGCTATCAGCTGTTTTTTGTCTTTTCCATTCGTTTTTTTTCAACTTTGTATGTAGGTATAGCTATACTGTACTTTAACTTTCACTGCACCGTTTTCTTCTTTTTATGTCAAAATCTATTATTCTTTCAAGGGTTCTAATATTTTTCTTTCCTTTTTCTTTTATTTTATAACTATTTTGAATTCAGTTCGTTCTGATTTTTAGTAAAATTGACCAAAAATGCCTACTTTCATATATTTTTTTTACTTTTCAAGACATTTTTTCAAGCACAATCCCTTCTTTTTTGTGTTGTTTTGTGTTTCGATGACTTCCTTTTACCGAAAAATTTGTAAAATACTGAAGAACGGTGATTTTTTAGTTTGAAGAAGTCATCACATGGCGACAGAAACGCAAAATGGCAGAGAACGCGGATCCGCACGCTGAATCGGTTGGAACATTGATTTTTTGAAAGTTTTTAAGGAAAAATGAGTAGAGTATAGCTAGTTTATTGTATTAATGATAGTAGACAGGCATTTCGGTGTTATAATAAGAATTTAGGGGTAGATCATTAAGAATGATAGGAAATCTAAAAAAAATTGACGTAATGTCACAAAAATTATTGAATTTCTAAAATTATGAAATAATGATTATTATGGCTTAGGATTAACGTTTTACAATTGTTAGCTCGTATTTTACTATAAGAAAATTAAATGATTTTTAATTTTTGACGAAATGTCACAAAAATTATTGTTTTTTTTAAAGTATGACATTATGATTAAATTAACAAAATAAGTATGTTTTTGGCGTATTTTACTAAAAGATTTTGATATTTCATATTATGTTATGGAACAGCGATATTTTTAAATTGTGGACGAAATGTCACAAAAATTATTGATTTTTGAAAATTTTAAAATTTACTTTAATATCGATAATAGAGGCTTGTAAGTCATTGTTATCTTTAATTTTTAGCATGAAACCGACTGTAAAAGACAAGATACGACTATTTTACTGCATTTGTTCGGACCAAAAGGACGAAACAGTATTTCATTTGAACAATTTGAAATGTAAACCATTTTTTTCAAAGTTAAAGGGTTTTTAAATTGAAATTTTAAAAATATTTAAAGTACTAAGGCTTAAAAAGTGTAATATTTTTAGGTTCTACAATAACCTTCAAAGAGAATTGATAGAAATCGAGTTTCAAGAGTTTGCCCGTGGCAAAAAGGAGATTGCAGCGGTGGATTTTGCCAAATTGGTATTGAGATACTCATTGGTGTCGGATGTGAAATACGAAGAACATTTGAGAAGAGTGGCTAAAAGGGTTTCGTTAAGAGATCCGGTGGGTTTTTGGACTGTTTTTGAAAGGTTTAGGCTTCAAAACGGTCGATATCGTACTCTTATGTTGGCCCTTATCTTTACTTTTGCCCCTACCTCAAAAAATGAGAATGAGCTTGCGTGTTTTACCTATTTTTACCTTTTTCAGGGTATTACAATCGACCAATTTGAGCAATTTTCTCGATTTCTCAACAATTTGGAAGACTTTTCCCGTGCCGTTCGTCTCTACGCCGCCGCTGACATTCCAGTATCGAGAATAGAATTTCTAAGAGCAGTTAAGTGTGCAACAGGATTGGAGCTACATCCACATTTAGTGGATGTGCTATTCAAGATCTTTGATAATGACAATGATGGAAGTTTGTCATATAATGAGTTTATCGAAATTATGAATGATCGTCTTCATAGGGGATTTAAGGTGAGGTTTTTTGGAGTTTCATTTGGTTTTGAGTTAATGTAGACTTGAAATGGGGACCATTAGGCCTGGTTCTGACCCTGATTCATTTTGGCTTTAACCAGATCCCGACCTGACTTGGGGTGGGGGGGGCGAAACAAATTCGAAAAGGACCGGGCCAGAACATGTGGGCCCGAGGCTTAGGGTCATTTTATTTTAGGCCAGCGCGTGGGATTATATAAGATTTGAAAATAGCTCTTATAGCTTTTAAAAATTTAGTTTTCAGAATCAAACCCGCCGTTCCGTCCCAGGGCAATGGCAAATCTTCAAGGACTGTGTGGTGCGCGAAATGGCCGTCAAAAGATGACAGTCTGTATATACTATAGCTATAGTACAAATTGTATTGGATAAAGCTAGTCACTTATAAATAGATTTTAAAAATTTTGGTTTTTTGAGGTTTCAAAGAGTTTAATTTTGATTTTCTGAGCCATTAATGAATTTAAATTGGATTTTATTTTCTAATTTAAGACGAAATTTTTTGAAAAAGTTAAATTTTTAGAGTGTTTTTCTAAACTTTTTTAGTATTTTTTGAAAAATTCAAAAAAATACCTTTCTTTTTTGACTACTTATTGTTGCGTTTTTAAACTTTTGATAAGTTCAACCCAAGAAAACGTCTAAAATTTATTGAATTTCCGGGAAAAAGGCGAAAAAATAAAAATTTTTAGAATTTTTGCTTGTTTTTTGATCGAAAATCTTCTAAAATGCCATTTTTATACAGTGGAACTCTTCTATAACGAATTTTAACTTTTTTATAACAAAATCTTGGTATAAGGAATAGCTTTCAAATCTCTGGCCAACTCTATAGTGCATTTGAGACGTTTGTATAACGAAACTCTTATATCAAGAACAATTTTAAAATTTTCAAGTCTTGTACAAGAGGTCTACGAATGTACTGAAAAACGCTTTTTTAAAAACATGAAAGTACGTACATTTTTATAAGAAAGTTCAGTAAAAACGTTGAGGGTCATTGTTCAAATGGCCGTTTACTCAATTTCCAACGTTTTTACGCAGAAATGTTCTATGCTTGTTTTACATTTTTTATTGCCAGACCTTTTTTAAAACTTATTTTAAGCTCATTTTTTACATTTTTGGCAACTAAGAGGGGGGGGGTATTTTTTTGTGAAGAGGCTGGAGGAGAAGAGCAGGGACTTTTCTGTTAAACTTTTGTTTTGGTTCACAGGTAGCTAGGTAATTGTGGAATTTCGTTGGATTGGTTAGGGAAGTTGGGTCTACTTTTATTCAGTTCCCTTTCCTCTTCTTAGGGACCTCCTTGGGCAGGGGTAAAAAATTTTTTTTTAAATTTTTTTTGTGAGATCCTTTTCGGAAGGCTAACAAGAAAAGTGCCCCGCTCTGATTGACTTCAAACTTTTTATATAGAAAGATCATGTAAATATAAGATGTTCAGCAAAGTACTAAATCGCGCTTTCCAGGAAATCACGAGAAAATCGAGATTAAAAAAAGACATTTTGAATTTTCCGCCAACTTGGCATTGTGTTTCAAGCTTATAACTTTGTCAGGTTTTGACTTTTAATAATTTTTCTTTGATATACTAGTAGAAAACCTTTAAATAAACCTAAATTTTTAAATTTGTAAGCGTATCTTGTCTAGAAAGCCAAAAAAAGTGCTTGAAACACAATGCCAAATTTGCCAAATTGGCGGGGTACTCAAATAATTTAAATTTAAACCTCAAGAGCGCGAGCTAAAATTTTTAATGGGTACTATTGGCGGTACAAAGAATTCATATAAAAATTTTGAGCTGATTCTGAGCGGGGCAGGTAGGGTACTTTCCTTGTAAGTGCAAATTAAAAAAAAATTGGTGAGGTAGAAGATGAAGGGGTGGTCTTTTTTATCAAACTTATTTTTTTTACTATAGTCTACCAAAATTAAAAATATTGTTTTACCATGCCAAAAAAATATAAAAACAGTTTTGGCATTTTGTTCAGCCGCAATTAGTTTTCTAAATTCCTGGGTTTACTCGCCTAATTTGGACTGAAAGCTTTGGGTTGGATTTATTTTTGAAAAAAGTTTGACTAGGCTTTTGGATTTTTATTACTTCTATTTTTAGCTTGTTTAGGGTAAGGAAAGGAAGGGCAGGATAGAGTAGGGTAGAACAGGTTAGGGTAATGTAAAGTAGAGTAGAGTAGTGCAGGGTAGAACACGATAAGTTAGGGTACATATAGTAAAATATCAATCTTTGCCCTCCGTTATCACTCCAAAACTACCCATTCTCTAAGGCCACAGACCGTTTGACCTAATTTGATTAACAACATATCCTTCTCCTGAACCATTATGAATATCTTTGGACACTGGATTCTATTATAAGCTCTATTTCGGCACAATTTCACTTCAAAAAGAAATAAAATTCATGTTTCTTTGGATTAAAAAACGCTTGCGGCCATTCCTACTACGAGTGGACATTAAAATATTTTTGGGAAGTTGTGATACTGAATAGTATCTTAGGTTTACATACTAGTGTTTGTCCTTGTTTTATTAGTTTTTGTTGATAAAGGTCAACAAACACAAAAGTTTTGGTTTATATGAAATTATTTTAATTAAAAACTCATTTTTGGCTAGCCTATGTCATTTTTCGAAAAAAAACTTTTTAATTTTTAAAATTTTTTTATTTTCAGCAGAATGTTGAAGCCTCCGCCGCATTCTGCTCAACCAACGCCAAAGAAAACCCAGAAGAAGGTGAAGATCAGGACGGTTAGTGAAGGTCCGGTAGAGAAGCGAAGAATTGATAGGAATGATCCTGAATACCTCAAAGAGCTGCGTCGACCCGCTGTGATTAAGGTTGGTTTATATGTTCAAAATTATATCAATAATAGGTTTTTTTTAATTCAGGCTTAGTGGTCTGAAGCTTAGTAGGCTTAGGCTTAGTAGGTTTAGGCTTAGTAGGCTTGGGCTTAGTAAGCATAGGCTTTGTTCGCTTACAGTTAGTGGGCTGAGGCTTAGTAGGCTTAGGCTTAGTAGCCTTAGGCTTAGTAGGCTTAGGCTTAGTAGGCTTAAGCTTAGTAGGCTTAGGCTTAGTAGCCTTAGGCTTAGTAGGCTTAGGCTTAGTAGGCTTAAGCTTAGTAGGCTTAGGCTTAGTAAGCATAGGCTTTGTCTTATAAAGATAAGCTTTACGCTGAGACTTAAAATGCTCAGTTTTAGGCTTAGTATTAGCAGGCTTAGACTATCAAACTTAGACTTGCTTGGTAGGCTTATGCTTTGTAAACTTAGACCTATCTCAGCAAATTTAGGTTTAGTAAGATTATGATGAATAGGCTTAGTTTTAGCAGGTTTAAGCTTAATAGGCTTTAATTCTTATGATACTATGGTGAGCGGTATTTGCGTTTATTTGGCTTTTTAAACCTATTATTATCATGTAATGGACTTATGACTTTTTTAATCTAAACGCAAGCTCGTTGTTCAGCTTGTAATCAGGCCAAAAATGAAGCGAAAGATAATAAAAAGGCAAAAATCGAAAAAATATTGTTTATAAAACAAAAAAGCCGGCTTTTTTCAGTGCGATCTGAGCGAGATGGACAGACGAAAGAGAGTGCGCCAAGTGTTGGAACACAAGGATTTCTGCACTCATCTCGAAACGCTGATCCAAAAAGACTCCGAATCGGTCGATTGGAATTCGAATCGGCCACTTTCACGTTCCCGGACCCTGCCCACCATGATGGCTTTGACGGGTCTTCAGAAGCTGAGTAAGTGAATCGGACATTCAAGTTAATTACTTTGGGTTTGGTGGAAGGGCTGCGGTTGGGAGAGGGTTTAAGGTATTGGAAAGGGGGTTTTTGGGTTTGTTTTTTTAAGATTTGGGGCGGGGGGAGGGGGTTGCGACATTAGTAAGATGACAAAAAAAGATGCTTAAGCTTGGGAGGGGTAAAAATAAAAACATTTTTTCTTGAGCATGGTTCAAGCAAAGTAACTCTTTGAGAGTATGGTGACTTTCTTCATGTTGTAGCATGGTATGGTAAGGTAGAGTTAGACATGAGGAATGGACCTAAAATTCAGGCCCGGCACGATCAAAATTTTGCTCAGGTTCGACCGAAATTTGGGTCAGGCCCGGCCCGTTCCTCATGTCTAGGTAGAATAGGCCAGGATAGGACAAAGGCGTACCAAAACTAAGGTAAGGGTAGAAAACAAGGTAGGGTATGGGTACAGTGAGAGTTAGCCAAAGGTAGGGTAGAGTGAGGTTTGGTGGGGTAGGATAGGGTAGGGTAGGGTAGGGTAGGGTAGGGTAGGGTAGGGTAGGGTAGGGTAGGGTAGGGTAGGGTAGGGTAGGGTAGGGTAGGGTAGGGTAGGGTAGGGTAGGGTAAGGTAGGGTAGGGTGGGGTAGGGTAGAGTATGGTAGGGTTTTAAAATTGTGCTACTGATCTTTTCTAATTTTAGGTTTTTTGACCAGTCGTTGTAAGATTGCAGACATGGCAAACAACGATAAATACACAATAAAGGAGAGGGTCTTGAGGAATAAACTAGCAACTTTGTATCGACTGGTAGATTTGTTTCAATGGTCTCAGGGAATCTACAATCATATCACTGTAAGTTAACTTCGTCCTAGCTTTAACTATAGCTAAGAGCGTTAGCCCGGAGCTTTAGCCCAGAGCCCTAGCTTAGAGCCCTAGTCTAGAAGCCTAGCTCAGAGCTCTAGCCCAGAGCTTTAGCCTACTGCCCACAGTCCTAACCCGCTCTAGTCTAGAGCTCTAATTTAAGGTTTTTTTAGCTACGCCTACCAGAATCAGATGACAAAAAAGAGCCAGAGTTTTTAATAAACCCATTTGGATTACTGTATCATGAGATTACTGCCGGTGCTTTGATCAAAATCGACATTGATGGTAATATATTGGACAACGGGTCTACCGAGCTTGGGGTTAACAAGGTATTTCATTTTTACTGTGGTTTTTCCGGATATCTACTCATCTGTTTACCCTAATTTAATATACTATATTTTTCTAAGTACCGTACTCAAAGCCATACTGTATATACTATGGTACCTTAATTTGATGTACTATACGTTTCTTAGCACCATGCTTAATAGTATCTTACTCTTTAGTACTATATTATTCATAGTATTATACTTCAAACTATTATGTAAATACCACAGTACCTTGCCTACAAAATGATCTCATACTAAACTTACAGTACTCTTTTTACAGGCCGGTTACGTACTACACTCAGCGATTCACAAAGCCCGACCAGATGTAAAGTGTGTTTTACATCTACATACGGCTGTTGTAGCAGCCGTTTCATCGATGAAATGTGGATTATTACCAATTTGTCAAGAAGCAATGATCATCGGACCAGTAGCATATCACGACTATCAAGGCATCGTTAGTGAAGAGAGCATGAGAGAGCAGATTATCAAGGATTTGGGGGTTAAAAATGTAGGTTTTGTTGAAGTAAAGGGGTTCATTGCCTTAGGTTTTGAAATTTTTATAAAATTTTTTAATTTTTTTATAAATATAATGTTTGTTTTAATGATAAAAGGTAATGTTACTTTACTTTAGGTACTCTTTTTTATAACAAATTGTAACGACATCTTATTTTAGGTACTCCTACTACGAAATCACGGCTTTGTAGCATGTGGAGAGTCGGTGGAAGACGCTTTACATTTGGCTTTTCATACTATTATTGCTTGCGAAACTCAGGTATGAAGTTATAAATTGTGTTTAGGTCAAGGGTAGGGCAAAGGTAGGACATGCGTAGGGTAGGGTAGGGCAATGATGTTCCAAAAGGCATGGGTTGGATTAGGTTAAGACAAGGGTAACGCAAAGGTAGAAAAAGAGTAAGGCAAGAGTAGAGAAAAGGTAAGGTGTTAGGGCAAAGACATGCCTAAAGGCGTGGGTAGTGCTGTGGTAGGGAAAAGGTAGAGCAGTGGTATGGCAACAATAAGCAAGGGTATTGAAAGAGTAAGGTTAGGGTAGAGCAAGTGTAGGGCAACGGAAAAGTATATGTAGGGCAAAGGCACGCCAAAAAGTATAGGTAGGGTAAAGATGGTGAAAAGATAGGGTAAGGATTTAGCGAGAATTAGGCAAAGGTATGGCAAGAGTAGAGTCAATGTAGAACAAGAATTGGATTTAGGCCGGGCTACGCAAAGTTAAGGAGTGGTGGCAAAAGTAGGGCCAAGCTAGGGTAGAGTAAGGTAGGGTACGGTACGTACGTTACAGTTTTGTGTTTACTGCTAAATTTTCAAACTTTTCAGATCAGAGCAGCCCGAGTAGGAATAGAAAACCTGGTAGTACCTTCAGAAGAAGCAGTGACAGCTGCTTATAAAACAGCGCGGTGTGGTGGTGGAGGAGTAAATAAGACTGGAGATGGAAAGGGTGGCTCACAATATCGAATTGGAGAATTGGAATGGGAGGCCTGGATGAGGGTGTTAGATGGCGCGGTAGGGATGATTTTCAATTTTTAAAAAATTTTTGAAATTTAAAATTTTTTTTCATTTAAGTTTTAAAAATTTTAAATTTTGAAATTTAAAAAATTTTAAATTCCAGGGATACCAAACAGGCCACGTCTACCGAAAGCCTTCACTTAAAGCCAGGTTACCTACCTTATCATCAGGCGTTTCCAATTTGTCAGAGATCTCGCTTCCACCTTCACTTTCATCTCATGGCTTGGCTGACGAAGCTCATTACTTTTTGACTCAAGCTCAGAGGAATAAAGTACGATGGCTCAACTCTCCGAATAATTATCAGAAAGTGGAGTTTAAAGAGGTTGGCAGGGAGAATCCGAAGACTATCACAAAGGTAGGATTGCTTAAAATTGAAGGTTTAATGAAAGAGCGGGTTAAAAGGGTTGAGGTATAATGTTTATATAGGTTGTGGTAGGGGTAAGTTATGAAATGTATTTTTATAATTACAGGTAAAAGAAATGGTATTTTCAAGGGCATGGGTGGAGATAAAAGTAAGGGTAAGAGTATTCTATAAGGTAGGGGTATTTCTTTAGTATATTTTTTTAAAATAGTAAGGTGTTTTTGGCTAGGGTTTTAGGCTATTGCTAGGGCTAGGGCTAGGACTAGGGATAGAATATGGGCTAAGGCTCTGGACTAGGACTAGATCTAGGGCCAGAACTAGAAGGTAGGGCTAGGGCTGCGAGTAGGATCCTAGGTTAGAGCTCGGGTAGCGCTTGGCTAAAGTTGTGGGCTCTATGCTACACATAGGGAACGGGCCCGGCCTGAAAAAAATTTAGGATGAGCCGAGCCTGAAAATCAAGGCCGATCCGAAAAGCATAGCACGTTTGCGCGTAAAACAATTTGGTTCGGGCCTAACACTCAGGCCCCGCCAGTTTCTTATGTCTGTTCTGGGCTAGGGCTCTGGGCTAGGGCTCTGGACTAAGGATCTGGGCTAGGTTTTTGGGTTAGGACTCTGTGCTAGGAGACTTGGCTAAAGCTGGATCTAAAGCTAGGACTAAGGCTTGAGTTCTGGGCTAGGGCTCTCTCGACTAGGGCTCTGGACTAGGGTTTTGCGCTAGGGCTAGGGATCTGACTCTTTCAATTGTTAGGAATAGGGCTGTGGCTGTTAAAACACATGTATTTTACAAAAAAAAACTAATTTTTTTTACCATTTTTAGTGGGTAACAGAAAAATCAGTATCAGCTGGTGGTACACCGGTTAAGATCTCTTCAGCCCATCAATTCAGTCCAATCATTATCAACGGTGATGCTACAGAAATGCGGCGTCATCGTGACGAAATCCGTGAGAATCAGGTCAAACGTGACAATAGTCCAGGCCCTATATCTCATGTTTTTGATGGTGTAATGGTTCAAGAGTTGCCTTCCGGTACCTATGGTACTCGGCTAGATAATACTGGCGCTTATGGTACTACTCGGCTAAATGCTGGCCCATATGGTGCAGCTCATGACCGTACTGGCCCCTGCGGTACTCAGTTTGAGCATTTCCAAACAATTTCAACCGCCTCAAAAGGCATCATTGATAGAGAGTACCAACACGATGCCAGAGTGTACCAACATTTGTACGCCCCAAATCCATTCAGCAACCTAAGTGATCAAGATTTGAAGGCTTACCTAGATGAAGTTGAGCTAAAAACCAGACCAGTTAGTGCTATGGAGCCACGCCAAGTAGAGATTGTCAGGGAGGATTCTGGAGAGGATTCACCGATTGAGCGGAGCAAAAGCTTCGATTTTGGTAGGTAAAATACGATTTGGGTGATTTGATGAAAATTTGGAAATTTTTTGGAATTTGGATTTTTTTTTGAAATTTAAAAAAATTTTTTTTTAATTTTAATTTTTGAAATTTCGAAATTTTTTGAAATTATAATTTTTTTTAAACATTAAACATTTTTTAATGTTTAAAAATTTTTCTGAATTATAAATTTTTTTTCAATTTTTAAAATTTTTTTTGGAAATTTTTTAAAAGTTTTTCTAAATTTAAATTTTTTTTTTCAATTTTTAAGAATTTTTTTTGAAATCTCGAAATTCCAAAATTTTTTGTAGACACGGCATCTTTAATGCAAGCTTGCCGGCATCTTAACAACCGATACATACCTAAAATAACCCTAACGGATGCAGTGAATAATAATAACGGTGCGCTTTTGTGGTCGTATCCTGTAACACTGTTGTTGCTGTAATGCTGTTGTGGCTTTTTTGATTTTTTTTGTAAAATACGTTTAATTCATTCATTGTTTTACATACGTTGGATATTATGTAAAACACGATATTGGCATTGTTTTACATATTGAATTGTAATTAATTATTTTTTAGAACACGTGTATGCCATAGCTTCTGGAGATCAAGAGGTAGGTCATTATTCTTTATTTTGTATATCACTCTACCCAGGGCCGGGCACAGACTTTTGCACTAGGGGGCGGGGGTTCAAAAAGCCTACCCTACCCTACCCCACCAAACCTCACTCTACCCTACCCTTGGCTAACTCTCACTGTACCCATACCCTACCTTGTTTTTTACCCTTACCTTACTTTTGGTACGCCTTTGTCCTATCCTGGCCTATTCTACCTAGACATGAGGAACGGGCCGGGCCTGACCCAAATTTTTTTCCGAAAATCCACAGAGGGGACCACGTTCAACTTTTTTTCAAAAATTTTTTTTTCGGGGGGGGTACAGGTACTCCCCTACCCCCCTCGCGCCCGGCCCTGACTCTACCCTACTTTATCCTGCCCTCTCTTACCATACGGTACTCTACCCTACCTTTCCATGTAAAGTTTTGCTAAACCTATGAATAAGACTTTTTCAGGCCAAAACCGAGAAGAAGAAACGATCACTTCGAAACCTGTTTCATATTGGTCGAAAAAAGAAATCCAACAAATAATAAGCCGAGAGATTAAAATAAAATTTATATTTTTAACTTATTGAAGACTAAAATACTATTACTGCTATCTTCATGTTAATATAATAGTATTGAATTTTTTGTATTTTTGTTACATTTTTACTCATTGTCAGTTATAATTGTCATCATTTTATTGAGAAAAAAAAATAAACGTTTTGAAAATTTGATTCATATATTAGGTGCTGACATAAAGAACCCGCCATATTTTCCTGTTATTTCCTCTAAAAAATGGCGGGTTCTTTATGTCGGCACTTAATCTATTTATACTCTATATGTGAGGATATCTTATACGATATATTTGAGGATACCTTATACTTAATATTGTGCTCAAACGATAACACATACACACTGCTGAGTAACAGGGCTCCATTGACAAACGGGTGTCTCACCTTCAGGACATGGGTATTCAACACAATCTGGAGTTGTCAAACACCATTATCGATCAATGGCGGCAACAACGGTGATTAGGGTAAACCAGTGTTTTGCCGAACCGGACGGACCGAAACAAAAATTTTTGCGGACCGGACCCAAAAACCTGCGGACCGGTCCGGAAGAAAAATTTTTTTTTATTTTAGTAGAACTGATTTAAAAATTGCAAATAGAATGTATTTTTAAGAGTATTTAAGCAAAAAGAAAGCAGTTTTAGCGCACCTTGCTTTTTTTAAAAATAAAAAAAAAAATTTTGCGGACCGGACCCAAAAATTTGAGGTTTGGATCGGACCGGACCCGAAAATCGCCGGACCGGACCGGTGAAAAACGCTCCGTTTTATTGATTTTAAATAGGAATAAAAGGTACAGTTCATTCATTCAAGTCTAGTAGTTGAGGTAATCAATAGAAAAGTAACGGGCGAACATAGTGTTAAAAACACTTTATAATTGGCTATTAAATTGGTTTACAATCACATCTCCACATAAAAACATCAGGATTACAATAAGGTTCTTCATCGTCGGGACAATCGTACTCAAGACAGTCTGGTACTGTTAAAAAGCACCAGTGAGTACCAGTAACAACAGTACAGAGGAGAACGAGAATAATAGTTTGGAACAACATCTTTGTACAAGCAAATGAAATTTTAATCTTTAAAGGTTTGATTAGCTTTTAAAATATTGAATTTAAATTTTGGTTTATTACCTTTTATTGGTCTGGGATTTTGATACAAATCAAGGGTTACGGTAGAAATAACATAAGATTGAAATAACGCTTAAGAAGGACAATTTGAGCAATGACAAAAGCTAATTCTGGGCAAGGACTAGGGCTAAAACTGGGATTAGGGCCAGAGCCAGGACTAAGGCTCTAGACTAGAATTCTAAATTAGTGCTCTGAACTAGAGCTCTAGGCTAGGGCTATAGGTTAGGGCTCTGGGCTAAGGCTCTGGACTATCGCTGTGGGTTAGGGCTCTGGGCTAGGGCTAGGGCTCTGAGCTAGAACTCTGGGCTAGGGCTCTGGGTTAGGGCTCTGGGCTAGGGCTCTGGGCTAGAGCTCTGGGTTAGGACACTACGCTAGGGTTCTGGGCTAGAGCTCTGGGCTAGGTCTTTGGGCTAGGCTTCTGGGCTAGGGCACTGGGCTAGGGCTCTGGGCTAGGGCTCTGGGCTAGGGCTCTGGGCTAGGGCTCTGGGCTAGGGCTCTAGGCTAGAGCTCTCTCGCTGAGTAGTTAATTAAAAAACATTAAAATTTTTAATTTTTTTAACTAATTATTTAATTTAATTGTTAATTTGTCTGGGAACTCATGAAAGTAAGTTAGGGTTCAACAAGTTTTTATTTTCATTAATAGTTCAATTTGGTCCCGCAACGAAAAATTGGAATGCAAAATTATAGATGTTTTGCTTGGCCTTCTGTTTTAATCAAGATTGTTGGTAAATTTTAAAAATATTTAGTGTTTTAGCCGTTTTTGTAATATAAAGTAAATAATATTAAATTTAAACGTATATTTTATTATAATACTGTATATTATACATGGTTCTTAGATAGTAGTCTTAAAAACTTCATTTTTAGGCTTTGCCGAACCAAAGCATGGATAACTGTTAATCCGGCAGTTCATAAACCTTATAGATTAGCCGGGATTAACGAGGAATGCAAGTTGTGCCTATGGGAACAATGAATCGTCCAACACCGACAGTCAGAGCGTCGACAAACGCCCAAGTGGTGAAGATGGTGCAGTTGGAAGGTAAAACAAGATTGCCCCAACGAATGCAAGAGGCTGTTGTGGACATTGGAAACTTAGTAATGGCTGCTCAACATAACGGAGCTAATGGAGAGGTATGTTTTTAGTTTTTATGTGTTTTTGGTTTAGGATGCTCAACTTTTGGATATTAACATTGGTTGTTTGAGGAAGTGACGACAATATTGTTGTAGTTGGTTTATTGGTCGTTATATTTAGTCAAAAGCTAGTATTTTCTTGAGATTATTTATAAATAGCAGTTTCTGACTATTCTTTCATTTTAGGCTACCACTTCACATCAAGTTATCAGAGCTACAAGTGCTACTGAATCGGTGCTGAACAACACAGCGTACAGTCTAAAACGGCTTGACAATACTATTGAAAAAGCTGCCCTGAAGTATGTTTTTTCAATTTATTTTTATAATTTTAGGTTGTCTGTTTTACATTTTATCTTTTAAAACACGTTTTTCCTAATAATCGAGCGCTTTTGAAACCTGAGTCGACATAAAAAAATCGATATCCCCAAATCTCTTGAAATTTTCAAAATTTACTCTTCGTAGCAAGATAAACAAAGTTGCTTAAACAAGTTTTTCCAAAATTACCGTATTCGGGGTTACGGTAATGTCGGTCGAATTTGAAAATTTCAAGAAATTTGAGGACATCGATTTTTTTATGTCGACCAGGCATCTCGAGCCTTACAAAAAACGTGTTTTAACTGATTATCCGATATTATACTTGGTACAACTTACCTCAACTAAACTTTTTGTTATAACTTTTTCAATATCCAACTAGTTTGTGCCATTTTAACAGTAAATTATAGTGTAATGTTTATTCTCTCTTTTTAAATGTAATTTACTAACAATCGTATCATTTTAGGAATGCTCTAATCGAGAGAAGGTGAGTAACCTTGTAATGAAGTGTAATATCAAAAACTAATTAATAACTTGAAAAATACGAACGAAATTCAAAGACTACAGGTTGTATGATATAGTGTAAGATCTAAGGATTGATGCTAGATATATTTTTGTTGTTTTACTAACGAGGAAAATTGAGAAATACCCGTGAAAACTCATAAAGATGAAGAAGGTTGGTGTTTTTTAGATGTTTGAGTGAAAAACGTTTCATTTTTGATGTTAATGCTTTGGGAAGTAAGGAAATATAGTTAGGGAAACTGGTAGAAAGAACAAACGGTATAGAAGTAAAGAGTAAAAGATGTTTTGGTTGAAGATAAGTGAGATTTAGCCTAATTTTTGTCAAAAATCTTGATTTTTGGGGAATTTTCAATATAAAATCAAGATTTTAAAGACATTTTTGATCTAAATTAGATCAACTAGATTGGTCAATAGTTGAACTATAGTCTGATGCTGACAATCGCATCAATACCTAATGAGCAGCCACTTCCCCGACTTCAGAACTGGCTACAACAATAGTCGGAGCACTGTCCGAGCAGTTGTTACCGTTGTTGTTGATGGCTTCTGAAGCGGTTTTCGTGCCTTCTGGGGAGCCTTTTCGCTCAGGAAGACCATCATCAGCCGGGTATCGACCAGTCATCTTACAGTAAAATTCTTTCGGTGTTAGTCGAGTCGACCGGTCGATTGTTAATAATGAGTAAATTAGGTCTTTGTTGGGTTCTGATGTGGAGTCGGGGAATTCTGGAGGGTCGTAGGCATCGTAGTTTTGGCAGGCTGAGTATAGGAACAGGCGACACATTTGGGCTTCTGAGAAGGGGAGCTGAAACATGGGTAATATAAACTTTGACATAGGTTATATACATTTTCTGGTGGATAATATAAAGTATAATTTGAAGAATGGAAAGATTGATACTAAACTAATGAGTTATAGTTAAAAACTCAAAATTTGATCAAACAATTTTCAGTGTTCCTCAATTAAGTGACGCATTGGCCAAGTTACAAGACCTATCTCATGTTTGCCGTAGGGTAAATGATGAAATTCAGCCAAAAATAGTCAAGAATTGATCTCAACTTACGAAAAATACAAGACATTCCAGTGATATTAGCATTTTTAACATTTATGATGTAGTAAAGCTGCTTTATACCTACTTCAAAGCTGGGTTTTGATGAAAAAGGTCTGTTTAGGGGTAGTTTTGACAGTATTTTAGGCCTGTATGGCTTTGCTCTAACTTATTTTAGGTAATACTCGCTCTGTCTAGACTAGAAAATGAGCTTTATCTAATTTATGATCTTTTTTAATTATCCTTAGAACTACAAAAATACAAAAACCTACCTCCCCAGTCAAGCACTGATACATAACACATCCGATGCTCCACATGTCCACAGCATGACCATATTCACAATAAGTCACAACGTTAGCACCGATTTCCGGCGCCATGTAGAAGAAGGTACCAGCCACATTGCAAAGGCTCTCCTCACCTTCGTCCAACATACGACAAACACCAAAGTCAGTGAGTTTGGCCACGGATATACCAGTGCCTTCTTGGTTTAGGATCAGTAGGATGTTGGGTGGCTTGATGTCGCGATGAACAATACCTTCAGCGTAGAGGGCGTAGTAGCCGCGGGCCAGGTCTTTCATTACTAGCCTGGAAACGAGGATTTTTGTAATGAAAGTCTAGGTTTTTATAACGAAAAGCTAGGGTTATACGATGAAAATAAGGAAAGATACTATGATTTTAAGGTCAAAAATGATATTTTATTGTTAAAAAGGCATTTTTAGGTAACAAATCGCAAAAAATTCAAAAATAAGAAGTTTTTTAGGCAACAAATTGCAAATATTTAAAAATATGGCATTTTCTACAGATGTTGTTACCTAAAATTTTGAAAAATTACATTTTTTACTTATGTTATTACCTAAACTTAAAAAAAAGTAAATTTTTAGGTAACAAAGAGCAAAAATGTTTAAAAAATGACATTTTTATGTAATTTGTTACCTAAAATTTAAAAATTTGACATTTTTTACTCATATTGTTACCTAAAAATTAAAAGTAATTTTTTAAGTAACAAACGACAAAAAAATTTGAGAATATGCCATTCCTAACCAACGTTATTACCCAAAATCCTCGAAAAACCTACTGAAACTCATTCTGGCTCAAACACCCATTAGGCGCCGAATTATGCAAATAAGCTTCCAGATCCGAGTTACACAGCTCCATGACCAAATAAGTGTTCAGGTCGTCATGTTCATGACAAATGTCGATCATACGAACTAAATATGGGTTTTGTACTCGCTTCATGGCTTCCAATTCGTATGGTTTCACGTTGACCTGGGCCATTCGTTTTATTGCCACAGGGAGCTTGCGCTTGTTTAGGCGGTCGTGTGCGTAGCCCTGAAATTTTGAAATTTTTTTCGGTCAAAAATATTTTTACCGTACTCTAGGCCCTGACGTACACTAGGCCCTGACGTGCCCTAAACCGTACCGTACCCTAGGCCCTACCGTACTCTAGGCAATACCGCACTTGTTCTTTTCCCATACTCATCCTTAATTTACTCATACTCTACCCATACCTCACTCACACTCTGCTTATATCATACTAATACCCTACTCATACCCTATCCATGCCCTACCTACACCCTGTCCATACCTTACCTATACTGTAGAGGACTCTATTTAATATTACAGTACCATACTCAATTTACTATAGCGCTAAGTTTTCTATTACAAGATTTGACAATATCCACCCTCGCCAAAAACACCCCTTACCTTAAAAACATCGCCGAAAGCGCCATGGCCAACACAAAATTGAGCACTGTCGATATACTCGTATCTACCACGTATCTTCACCCTCATTCCAGTATAAATGTACGGTATTCCATCGGGGTCTAGTTCACTAAATGCCGCTTTCGGCTCGAGAACGGTCAGATGATCGTGCCCATCGTGACTCACAGCCTCCAACTCGACCATCGACGACTTGGCGGTGGAGTGGCGACGGACGGAGCTGCGACGCCACAACGAGTCCGATGATGAGTTCGTCGACGAAATCGAAGCCACCGCGCTGTTGCGGCGAAGACCCGCCAACGGGCCTGGCATCGGGAGCGTACTGAAAGGAATGGTGGCGGTGGGTATGGGTGGTGGTTTATTAGGTTTTTGGGGGTGAGTCTGGAAGAAGTTGAGTATATTATGAAAGTTATAGGTATGGTAATTTGCGAACATAGTACGCATCACGTGGTATCACGAGTACATAAGAATGATAGGTATTTTCTAATAAGCATTGTTATATCCTACCCTACTCTACACTGCCCTACCGTACCCTACCCTACCTTACTCTACCCTGCCCTACCGTACCCTGCCCTACCCTACCCTACTCTACCCTGCCTTTCCCCTACCCTACCCATGCCAGACTCATACCCTACCCTTATCCTGCCCATACCGTGGTTACACTATATCCATGCCTTACTCATACCGCACCCATATTCTACCATCCCCTGCCATACCCTATCCACATCTTACCTACACCCTAGCTATACTCCACCCATACTCTGCCCATACCCTACCTATATTCTGCCCATACACTAGCCATGCCCTACACATGTGTATACCCTACACTACTCGTACTCATACCCATATCCCTATAAATATCTATAACCATAACGTACCCAGGTCCTACCCTTTAAAATTCTAAAACGCCAATCCGAACCCTTCCCCATTCAAAATCAACTCCCCTTTTAGAAAAGAATTGGATTTGAAGCCATTCCAAAAAAAGAAACTAAATCAAATTTAGCTATCAAGCCACTTAATTTCACGGAACGGCAAAAAGTAAATTCTCTTTTTTAAAAAGATTTTTAAAATTTTTCGTGGACAAATTGGGTTTTTGTTCCCGAAAGACAATTCTCGGTTGAGTGTGAAATTGGGTTAATTTAACGTAATTTTAAAATGTCACAGAAATAGATTTTGACAGTTGAAATGATCAATTTGAAAAGTGTAGACTTGGGCTGGGTTCAGGTAAGAATAGTTAGAGTTGAATAGAGTAGGTTAGAGCTGGGCAGTGAAAAGTATGAGAAGGTAGGGTAGGGTAAAGTACGTTAAAATAAAATAGGATTGGGTAGGGTAGGACAGAGCCAAGAAAGATGGGGTATGGTAAAGTAGATGGTAAGGTAGTGTGGGTACTGATAAGGTAAAGGTAGGGGATAGTAAGGTACGGTAAGATTAGGGTAGAGTAGAAGTAGAGTATAGGTAGTGTAAGGTATGGATAGAGCATGGGTAGGGCATGCGTACAATAAGCCCTAGATTACAGTACGGTCTATGTAGTAGGTCGTACCGAGAGCCTAAGGTACAGTAAGTTCTAAGGTAGGGTTAGGTAGGGTAGATTAAAGTAGGCTAGGGTAGGGTAGGGTAGGGTAAAAAAAGGAAGTCAAAAATAAACTCAGACTTCAATAATAATATTGATGAGAGGAAATTTAAAAATAAAAAGTAAATTCATCAAGTTGAGGAACCAAAATTTCCAAGGAAAACACGTACTTTCACGTCAGTTTCGACACTTTGAAATAGCTGGAATAGAGAGTAAATTGAGTTTGAAAAAGGTTTGAAAAGACAAAAAGTACCCAAATTTGATTAAAGAACAATCAAAAGTCCAGTCAAAAATGGTTGTAATAAGTCAAAATAGTCTTTGTCCTATCAAAAAAGTTGGGAAGACTATTTTAAAATGTCATTTTATAAACTTTTTATCAAAAAACGTCTAGAAACCGGCTGGAAAATCAACTTTTCAGCCAAAAACCCACTTGTGGCCAGATGTTTTGGCCAAAACACAGGGTTTCAACCACTTCAAAGCCTTATAAATTTTTTTTTTGAAAGAAAATTGAATTAAAAAACATCATTTTGAATTCAAATGGAACTGTAAACATTGTGCAATATCATTTTAATACTACTGGGTTTCTTAATTAAGCCAAAAACAACAATATTTTAAGCTGTGGTGCTTGGAAAGGGAGGGTTTTTGAACTGTTATTAAGCCTACCATACTCTACTTTAGATGCCATCAAACTCTAGGGCCTTCTGTAGCCTACGCCCTACCGTACCTTAGGCCCTACCATACCCTAGGCCCTACCGTATTCTAGGCCCTACCATACCCTAGGCCCTACCGTATTCTAGGCCCTACCATACCCTAGGCCCTACCCTATTATAAGCCCTACCATACCCAAGGCCCAACCGTACCCTAGGCCCTACCGTGCCCTAGGCCCAGTTGTACTTTAGGTCCAGCTTTGTCCTACCCAACTGTGCCCTAGGCCCTACCGTGCTCTAACTACCGTGTTTAAGACCCTCAGTACTGTAGGCCCTAACCTCTCTGAGGCCCTATCTTAACCTAGGTTAGCCGTGCCTCACACATTACCGTATCCTACATTCTGCCGTACCCTGCGTCCTATTGTAATTCAGGCCCTACCATACCCTAGGCCCATCCGCGCCCTATCGTATCCTACCCAACCCGTTCTCTAGCCCAAACTAAACTCATCGTCACTCTCTAGGTATGAAAAACAAACAAGTGACAACTTGAAACCGGTTCGGGCCTTAAGCGTCCAAAACCTGTTTACAAATAAAAGTACAACAACATGTAATACCATCAACCGCTAATTATGTGTTGTTTACAGTAAATTAAATTTGTGTACTACACCAAATTAACTTATGTTGGCATGGGTCTGTGTTTTGGGAAAATACTAACGAAATAAGGTTAGACATGATGTTTGGTATAGGTTTTGCAGGTTGGGTGGGGTAGGGTGTGGTACAGTATTGGAGGCTTAGGTAAGGTAAGATTAGGGTAGAGTATGGTAAGTTAAGAGTAAAGTTAGCTTTAGTTTTAGTGTTAGCCTTTGCCTTAGATTTAGCCTTAGCCGTAGCCTTAGCCGTAGCCTGAGCCTTAGCCTTAGACTTAGACTTAGTCTTAGCCTCAGCCCCATAACCAGGTTGAGACTTTTCCTCAGCCCTAGCTCCAGCTTTAGCTTCAGCTCTAACATCAGTACTATCTGTCATAGCCTCACTTTCAGTACCAGCCTCAGTTTCAGCCCTAGCTCTAGCTCAAGGAAGTTCTGTAGCAAAGCGAGCTATGGCCGAGGTAACGATATGATATACTATGGTTATGAAAAGGCAGGTTTTGGTTTTAAAAACTGAAATAACGTCCAATTAAAATGAGACAAACAGATATTCATCATGTATGTAAAAGTTTCAGTTGAGCGTGGGTAAACCACAGTAAAAACATTTAGCGAAATAAATTGGGCACGTGAATTACATTAACAAAACTAAATTGGGTTTAAAACTGAATTCAGTACTTGGAATTACAGTTTAACTCTTATACTCTACAACAAGAAAAATTTTTAAAAAATCCAAATTTCAAAAATTTTAAAAATTTTAAAATAATTTCAAAAAAATATTTAAAAATATGTTTTTCCTGTTTACAGTACCACAAATTTCAAAAAAATTTCAAATGCTGACGTTCTGTTCCGTAAGTCCACGTTAAGCCATTATTTCATTAAATTTTAATGCCCGAAGCCTTTCAAAGTTTATTTTGGAATTCGAATTTCTTCGAAATTCCTGTTTGTTTTTATTGGAAATTTTTAAAAAGTTCTTTTTCATTTAAAATGCTTTTAAAAGCGCTTGACCAAAAGTGCTTTGAAGGAGAAATTGGAAGTTTACTAATGTTTTAGTAGGTCGGGCTTAGCCTTAGCTTTAGTCTTGTCTTAGCCAGTACCAGAACCTGAGCCTTAACCTGAGCCTTAGTCTGAACCCGAACTTGAGCTTTAGCCGTAGCTTAAGCATTAGTTTAAGCTTAAGTTGCGCCCTTAACCTTAGCTTGAACTTGAGTCTAAGCCTGAGCTTAAGGCTGAGCCTAAGCATGAGCATGAGCTTGGGCCTGAGCTTGAGCCCGAGCTTGAGCTTGGGCATGAGCACGAGCCATAGCCTAATATTGAGCCTGAGCATGAGCCTGAGCCTAAGCCTAAGCCTGAGCCTAAGCCTAAGCCTTAGCTTTGTGCTCAGCCATAGTCATAGTCACAACTTTAACCTAAACCTTAATGCCCTGGAAGTATTATAGTAGACGCAAAAATGTTTGAACCAAAAAGCTTGTCCTACCTTTTACCCTGCCGATTTCTATCCTACACGGCATTAGCTCAAAGTTACATTACACTGCAATATATGTAAATTATCAGTCAATACAACCCCAATAACAGTTCAAAGACCCTCTCTTTCCAAGCACCACAGCTTAAAATATTGTTGTTTTTGGCCTAATTAAGAAACCCAGTAGTATTAAAATGATATTGCACAATGTTTACAGTTCCATTTGAATTCAAAATGATGTTTTTTAATTCAATTTTCTTTCAAAAAACAAATTTATAAGGCTTTGAATTGGTTGAAACCCTGTGTTTTGGCCAAAACATCTGGCCACAAGTGGGGTTTTGGCTGAAAAGTTGGTTTTTAAAAGCGGTTTTTTAAAAGTTTTTTGATAAAAAAGTTTGTGAAGCGACATTTTAAATTGATCTTTTTTATTTTTTTTTAGTGGAACAAAGACCATTTTGAGTTATAAAAACTATTTTGGACTGGACTTTTGATTGTTCTTTAATCAAATTTAGGTACTTTTTGTCTTTCCAAAACTCTTTCTAACTCAATTTAGAGCCAATTTCAGCCATTTCAAAGTGTCATCACTCAAAAGACCTTTTTAAAATTAGCTCAAACAACTAAAACAAACACTTTAAAACTAGTCCAAACCATTAAAAAAGCATTATCAAACCAAGTACAACCTATTAAAAGCCCACCAGACAACTTTAATCTAAACAACAATATCAAACACCAAAGCCAAACACCAAAAACCCACAAATCCCAATACGAAATGGTCGATTTCATGTAGCATTATGAAGGATGAATCCCTATAAGCTCGAGAAATGACGAATTTCGTCTCGCCGTTCCAGAACGTGAGCCGCAAGCACGGCACTCGAGAAATTCGTTTGAATTGGAAAAAAAAACGAAAAATTTAAATTTGAAAAAAGGGTTTGCAAAAGACAAACAAAGTCTTGGGTTCAAGTGCGGTACAACAGGTTCAAAAGAACATTAAA